GTACGACTTATGCGTGTTCTGTGTTAGTTAAAGCGGCAGAGTCGTCACCTGCGCATGCGCCAGATGACCATAGCGTGTCAATGTTTACAAACAAGCGTCTACCCATGAGTCTTTGCGTTTTTAGCGTGTGTTGTTCTGGAACTCAATTCTCGCGCGTGCGCAGGTGACAACCTTCTCGCTTTAAATATGTCCTACAGGGAAATTAGGGCTTAGTCACCTGATATTTTCCAATTTAGGGAACAAATAAATCTCTTACGTCAGACACAAACGGCCGTCAAGTCGGTCACACAAATTTATTTTTGTTTTTTTCAAATTTTGTTCCATTTCCCTCCACCTGTTCATTATCACTCTATCACTATGAACGAATTGTGATTGGCCAATTGCATCTTGGGTCTATCATTGCGTTTACACGAATCAAAACTTTTGCGTTTCAGATGTCCTATTCTGCTCTTTCCGTTACTCTGTCGGATAAAATTAAGTTCCCTTATTTCACACGAATCAAGCCACCCGATGTCGCACTTAACGTAGCTAGGTTAGCATTGATACAACATTATGGCTGGAATAAAGTGGCAACTATAACAGAGGCGGAGAATATCTGGCTAACCGTAAGTAACTATATATATATATTTATTTATTATATTTATTATTTAAAATTAACATTATTTCATTATATAATGTGTTGTGCTATGGTTCTGATTATATAATTATTATAAAATACATTTTTGAGAATAGTACATCAATCTAAATTAACATGAATTATGGATAAGAATCGTACATGTCGTGTTTGCGGTTCTAAATCTGTATTGTGTAGTATTTTTATGCAATCTTCACTGAATTTTACAAAGATAAACGTGTTTAATGTGTTATCTCGTCGACACAATCAACCTATAATTATAATGATTTTTATTAATATCGTGTCTTCAGTGATATATTGACTTACACATCAAAATGATAAATAGAAAATAATAAAAAAAATACATTGACTAAAATAGCTACATGATCAGACCGCCATATTGGATTCACGAAAATGACATACAATGTTCAAACATCAATATTTTGGGTTCTACTTAATCGCTGAAAACTTCGGTCATACCATCAATGTTTTAGTATGTAACTTCGTATCATGGTTCCACTACATATCTTTCTTTTTTTTAAATCAGGGAACAAATGATATGATCGAGAAAATGACCGCAGCGGGCATGGAGGTAGCTACGTCAGAAACGTTTCGAGAAGATCCAAGACTGCAGATGGAAAACATAAAGGTGAAAGACTCTCAATATATGTATGTTAAAGTTGCTTCAAACAAAGAAATCATTTTTAATACTAACAATTATTTCTGCTTAAACCCCTCTGTAAAATACTTGGTTATAATGTGAAAACATTGACTGATTGTTGTCACTTTTAACATTATTAACAGAGCAAAGATGTGAGAATTATCTACGGTAACTTCTATGCTCCAGCATCGATAAAGGTGTTTTGCGAGGTACGTGTCTTTTTCAGTTGGCGATATACAGTCGATATACATGTGTTAAGAATGCTTAGCGATCAGCAATGTACTATCACCGGGATTGATTACCGCAGCAACATAGGCAATGGGTGCATTTACTTTTACGCCTATTTTTTCTGTTGCACGTGCCGGATATTATGTGTATGATGGATAATGAAACGAGCTAGGTAGATTAGGCATGTTATATTTTGCTATTGTTTGATCACGAGCGGATTTAGAGGGAGACGCGCCAGGCGCCCCCCTTTCGATCACGTCAATAGGAGCGCGTTCCTTACCGAATTTCTGGGTCCGCCAGTGTTGATATTAATATGCCAATGGCAGTTATTTAATCAGCCAATATCAAACATAGAATCAAGAATGGGATGACCCACGACAAATTGCATTTCAATGATTTAGAAAGAGTAGTTGTTAATTCATAACAAGTTTGATATGGTTCTATCCTGGTCTAAAAAGTATAATGGTATTATGAAATCACACATCCGAATTTTGGCCCAACTTTAAAATAAACATAGTTTCTCTACAAGTGTGCTAATGTTAATACGTTTAAGGTACATGTTTTCTTTCATTGCTGCAATGTTATGTGTTTATTGTCCATATTATGATATTTTGTACATGACGTCATTATTGACACCATAACACGTTTTTTGAGTAAATTAAACTCCAAAAATAATCATCATGACTCGCTCAACTAGTTGCCAATTCTCGGAAAAGTTGAAAATTCACCTATAGTAGCAATTATCAGACTGTTAGTGGGTGGGATGAAGCCATTGCAATTCAGTATTATTTATTCCATGTTTGGTAAGTCTATCAGGTAGCACAGTCAATACTTTTAATGACCAGATGAGTTGAGAAAAACAGCAATGATCTGTTGACACGCATCAAGTAAAATGTCACTGAGACCCAAATAAATGTGTATGTTGGTTTCAAAGTTATGTGAGGGTGATTGATTTCAATTGTAATGACTGTACTAGTACTCGACAACTGTAATTTGAGGTGCATATCACTTTGCTGCTAGATGCACTGTACTTAGACGTTTCTTGAATGGATTCTGATTGATGAGTAGCTCCGATAGGTCTAGTTTGTTGTGGCACAGCTGTAGGTACATCTGAATTTCACGAATGACTTATTCAGTCTTCTTCACAATTGATTTTCCATGCCTGTATATTTTGGATTACGTTACAAGAATTACGTAGTTGATTGTATGATGGAGTCATTATTGGCCAAGATTATAATACACAGTCCAATAGTGAAATATAATTTTGAAAATATCCTTTAATGGTTTCATGAGTGTTAAATTTCTTAACCTATTTCATATATACTGATGATACAATTTCTAAATACGCACAACTTTTAATACAACATGCATTGTTTTGTTTTTTATCTGCTACAATTCGCGACTATACACTTTTTGTTGATGAACACCTTAAATGAAAGCGAAAGATGATGTTGTTGAAATCCAAATATAAAGAAATGTTTAGCCCAAGTATAACAGGATTTCCACCATTTGGCATGGCAACGAAATCAACAACATAACATGAAATGCATATTGTTAATAACACAATTATATTTTTCGAAGACTATATAGCTAATTGTCACCAAAACTAATTTCAATGTAAGAAATCTATTAGTTTCTATTAGTTTGAGCAAGATTAATTAATTTTTAATTAGGGTAATTTAGGTACGAATTGTTACACTTGTATTCAAGCTATCGCAGAGCATATTGGCTGATTGGCATTAAAGGTAAGATCGCCGTTTATAAACCCGCATGCCCCATTTCTTATAAGCAAATGATGATTTTGTAAAGTAATTACAGCTTATACGGTTTCGAAAATACATGGGTAACATAATAGTAATTTTCGAGTCAATTAAAGTCGTGACTTTTTCATGACATGGGTGAAACGCATATCCGTACACGGTGAAGTTAAGGTTGCTACAGTTTGAAATGACATCTCTGCTTTTTATCACACCACATTCCTGATATTGAGATAGGGGTATACTTTGAAGTCAGCGACAATGTTTAATTTGATTACTAGGATTTTTTTACATAATATATAGAGATAACAACAACAATTATTATACATCTGTCACCGTAACGCCATAAGTTACAGCGTGCCGTAATTTTGCGGTATTTTACGGGGTATTTTCATCCTACCATATTAGGAAATGTGAATTTTAAATATGGAATGATTACGCGCGTGATCGTCCTCTAATAATAAAAACAAACACCAGGGTTTGACCAGACTCAACAAAAAGAAGTTCGCTGATTCTGTTCTGTTCCCATGATGAATCCTTTGAAGGAAAAGATGTATAATAATAAGGTTATTATGAGGATACCTCAAATTATACACTCAGACAGTATGCCGTTGCGACGGCGTACTGTCTGGGTTCATACTTTGAGCTATCCTCGTAATAACCTTATATTTTTCATACTGATTTCACAGTGATACAGAAAACTTGTTCAAACTTGTTCTTACAGGCTTACAGATTGGGAATGTATGGGGCTAAATACGTATGGATAGCACGCGGTGGGATTTCTCGTGACAGTGATCGTGACATTGATACTGGCGCCTGTACATTTGATCAAATCTTGGAAGTCATGGAGGTATGTAATGAATTAATTGGCTTGCATCAAACACATTCACGTACAAGGTGAGATCAAGATATTGAACTTATAGAGCGTTTAAATCTTAACAATATTTAGTTAAGCAGTACCTTTCCGCCAAATGCCAGGACTATATATCCCTGAAATGTATATGCATGTGTTACCATGTCAACAAATATAATCATAGGTTGACTTGGTATTGAGCTGATAGGTGAGTGTATGGCGCCACCATACGACATATAATGGTAAGTTTGCCTATGATGGAGTTTCAACCATTTGAACTGTACATGTATTGAGTTGTGTTGTAATATTTTATTGGCAGAGTAATACCCGTATAATTGTTCGTGCTCTTAAGCTAGTCGCCATTCGTGCGATTACCAGTATAACATTGATACCAATTGGTTCGACTGCTTCACAAAAGTTACTTCATCGTCCACCGATTTCTTGGGTTTCATAGTTTCATACATTAAATGTAATCTGGTCATTTTAGGTATACTTAACAGATTCACGTACACAGTCGAATGGAAACATGGAACACTAGTAGACCAAAGAATGTGATACAATGCATGTTATATTTACTAACAGTCGCACATAACACTAAATTAATCATATATTCATATATGCAGCTTTGCTAAAGTTTCGTTCTATATCATATCACTCTTGTTATGTTAAATTGCTCATTTACGTTATCACTTCAGTTCAGTTCTAAGACGCTCGCCGCAAAGTAATCATGGCGAATTTTCACAAACACCATTTACCTCAAAATAGTCTTACATTTTTTAGCCTGACGCATCTCAATAAAATGATTATAAATAATTTGTATTGATCTGGACCCCCCAGAAAACACCTGACCAATTCATACTTTAATGCAGGAACGTTTGAGTCCATATTCATACACAAGTAAGCATTTCCGTGCAGTCGCATGAATAAGACCTGACGACATGGACTGATTGATTAGAAAATTAATATAAATATATAAGTGCAAATAGCAATCAGTGTATAATTATTGTTTTATAATCCACATACTATCATTTTCAGGGCATGTTGTCAGTTGGGACGTGCACAATCAACCCGGAGAAGACGTCTAAAGGTGTTTCTGGCATGGTGAGTAAAAACGAGAACAGTCAAATACAATTTATTTCCAAATAAGAGGTGTAAATTTCACTCACATGTCATGCATAAATAATTATTATAGATACGTGCAATCACATCAACGTGGTATCCCACAGAGACGTAAAATAACGTACACAAGCGTGGTTGGATAATTTGTTTGTTATTTGTAACTAAATATTGTTTATATTGCTATATTTTGGTGTTACTTGACTATCAATGTCTTTGATTGCGCTAGCGTTTCTTTATTGCTTTGTTCTTCACAGCGAATAATATCAGGTTATCCCAGAATGCTAATCGAGAACAGTTTTGTAACTTCAGTTACTCGAACTGAAAAACAATACAGACTTTATTAAAATACTTTTGAAATGAATATTCATGCAGAACACGCAAGAACAAAACAATTTTATTATAAATCTTCTGTACCAACAATTTCAGAAACATTTTTTGTCGGCAATATTAAAAAAGTAACATATTAGGAAAGTGACATATCTCAGGCAATGTTTGATACATTTAAAATGGAATTAAACGATGGGGTACTC